GTGCCCTGCTTCTTGTGAAGCTATGGGTTGGAGAAGCACATCAACCCCCACATCTGGTTTCTATCCCATGTGCCCTGACACCTGCCTCCCACTCAAGCAGAGGACAGGCATATCCACTGCGTGAACATCCTTCCTTCCAAGGTCACGTTCAGGTGGCTGGGGGCTGAGGAAGCCTGCTCACATCTGGGATGAGGACCTGCATGCATCGCCAACAGCAGCAGCTAGCCAGCCTCCTCCTGGATCTTGAAAAATGCTTCAAGCAACCAGAACAAAAATGATGCCACTCTCAGCTAGTCAAACTTAATTTACTTCATTATGCCATAAACTGATTTTTTTCCATTATCTACAGAGACTTCCAGGATGAGTTAAGACTCACATGTGCAATGGGAATGAGACAAGCAGTAGAAATAAGATAAACAACCGAAAAAAAAAAAAATCCCTTTAAAGTTATTCAGGGGCTCCAGGGAGGAAGAGAAGGAAGGAGGAAAAAGCCCACAAGCCTATTTCCCATCCTTTCTTTAGATCACCTTTATATAGCACCTGACTGCAATAACACAGCTAGCAATGGCCCCTCCTTTTGTTTGATGGCTTTTGTAAATACGAGGTTCAAACAGCGGCCCTAAAAAGTCTTGGCTGATGAGTTATTGTGAAAAATATTCAGATGTTGTGTCCTCCCACTGTGTGTCCTTAGGTAAAGCTCCAGCTGATCTCAAAGATAAAACTCTCTCATGTTATTTAAATATGAACACTATTACTTTTTCAAAGCACCTATAATTTTCATCAAAGCAGAGCTTCCTGATGAGATCCTGCCATATAAACCTTTATCAGCGGCACAGTGCCCCAAAACACCACCAGCGCTCCACAAGCAGCCCAAAGCGGACACGAGGGCAGAGCTCAGCTCTGCTGAGGGCCATGATGTCAGGGGCCTCTCCTCACAATATGCAAGGAGCGAAGCTCCCAAACAGTTACAGAACAAAATATCCTGAAAAATACCCTCACATACCAGGAGACCACTAGAGAAATGTTTAAAAGTACTTCCTCTGTAATAAGAACTAGGTCAATGCATCTCATGAAGGAGGAAGTGGCTCTGTGCTGGTGGCAACGGCGTAATTTCTAGGCTGGTGATCAGCACAAATAGCTGACTGCAGGTGGAAGACTTCTCTAATTTGGATGCACATAGTGGTCTGAAAGCTTTTGGGGGAGGAGGGAGAGTTTGCTACAAAGACTTACCTGGAGACCTTTCAGACTGGCTTATGATAGCTGAAAGTGAGGCGAGGAAAAAAAGACCGACTCTTCATTTATTTAAAACAAGAATATGACACAGGGGTCGGCTGCACAAAGTGAAGGTTGGGCCAAATTCCCACTTAAGGACACTATGAACTGGAGGTTGCAGAGCATCCAAGAATGGAGCCTGTTACGAGTTCAGGGAAAAAGAGAGGGTGTGGGTACATCACCAGTATCCACAGGGCCACTGCCCGTGTCAGGGCAGGGACAGGGACTGCAGTACTTCAGCACAAGTAGGGACGCAGTGCTTAAACAGGTAAATGCAGATCTTTCTGCTTCAGAGAAGGAAATCCCAGTATAAACTCAAAAGTACATGAGTGCAACAACAGTATATGCAACTTCAAGCTCAAAATAACATTAAAAACTGTTTTCAAATTTAAAAAAAACAGAAATTATACAAAGGAAGAACCAAAAGCGGAAGACCTGACATGAGTAGAGCCCAAACCACACAGCCACCCCCATAATTTGCTCCACTTACCACTTCTTGCTGGTAAGCTGTACTTGCTCATATACCAATAGAAATTAGCACCTTTCCATCTCAATGAAAGGCAGGCACGTGGATTTTTCAGAGACACCTTATCAACGTGGGCAGGGGGAAAGGAGAGGAACATGCAGGGCTGGAAACATTTATAAGGCACTACAAGTGAAGTAAGACAAAATAAATAGAGGGAATCCAGCTGTAAACCACACCAGATTTGCCACAAGTCCATGGCCAGCATCAGTGGCGCAGAAGTAGTTCAGAACAAACAGTATTATCTACTATTAACATAGAGGTAACTACAAGACCAAATGATTTGAAAATGTCAGGGTGAGCAAGCAAGCCTCGACTGAAGGACAGTCTGAATACTAGTATTTGAAAACCAGGAAGACCAGTAAATCCAGAGATTCCTCTTTCAGGTCAATTACATCTCAAAAAAAAAATTGAAACACATTCAGATGCCAAACACAGCAACAGACATGCTTAGACAAGAACCAAAAGCACTTAAATATAGCCTTTTTTGAAGAAGAAAAAGAAGTATGCATCACCAGCAAATCACTCGGCCCAGAACTGTAGGAAGAAAAAGAAGTATGCATCTCCAGCAAATCACTCGGCCCAGAACTGTAGCTGGTTCATGGTAACAGCAGATTTTACACCTTTTAACTACTAAGATTATGCTAAGGGCTCCAATCCTACTCCTAGAATTGCTCATGTCTCCCAGACTTTGCAGCACAGAGGTTAGGACTGGGTTTGCCAACTATTGGTATCGGTTTAGGAAGTACGACAATTACCTGCCGACCTCAGGAGTAAACTGGGATAGGATACATTCCCCCCTCTGCCCCCAGCAAGCCCCCTATGTGTTCTGCGTGAAATAAGCTGAGAAAATAAGCACCGGGACTTCACTTTAAGCTTTTTCTAAACAGCAGATCCTATTTCTTTACAGTCCGCTCCACAAAGTGAATTAAAGAAGTATATCCTTAGTCCAGCAAAGTACATCTTAGTCAACCATAAAGGCAAAATAAAGAATTGAACAAGCATGTCCATTGCTCTCAAATGTTTGTGCCACCCCCTTTGTTTGGCACTGTTCCTTGCACGGAAAGGCAGCCCGGTCGCCCGGTTTGGGTAAGCCTTAGGAACAACCTTGCAAAGAGCTAGCGTTGCCATCGTGTGGCAACCTTCAGGAACAAAACTCTGCTTCTGTCGTGTGCTGTGTTCCCCGTGGCTTTAAGAAAAGGACGAACCAGGAGAGATGGCACAGCACTCGCGGACTGAAAGGAAGGTGGACTACCAACGATACAGAGCTGCAGAAGGTTTCAGAGAGGTTTCACGAGTTGCTAAAAGGAGCACCAGATGCTGCTCACGTGGAACATGCTGTCAGAAAAACACAGCGCAGGTACCAAAGACCGGTATACTCTGTTAGTTTTTTTCTTCTCCCCTTTACTCCGAACTGGTGGGCTGCCCCCCCTCTAGGCATGTTTTGCACTCTTTTAAGGTTCCTGTTCAGGAAAATGACAGCTGCTCGGCAGCTTGGCAGGTTACAGCACACTTCGTATCACGGAAATATTTCAGATCCCTCAGTAGCTGCCGAGTGGTGCTGGTGGGAATGAAAACACTGGATAAATTGCTGCAGTCACAGCCAAAGTTATTCTTTGGAAGCAAGTACCTTTAAAAATGAGCAAATAATGTAGAAAAAAACATTTGTGAGTTCATTATGATTGAAGGCACATCTATTTTCTCTCCAGGCACTTCTACCAATTTTTCCCCAGTCTTCTATAACTGAACTTAACAGTAGTACATAAAAAAACCCAAAACAACACTAAGGAACAACTCTTTCACCTTAAAAGGCCTCCAGGTTGATACACCTTTCAAGTTACTTTCAAGAGTTTCAGAGAAGGTCGATTTAATCACTTTAAAATCCAATTTAAAATCAAGATCTCCAGATGCTTGAACATGGGGTTTAATCCCAATTTGCATCATTTCTGATTTTTTTTTTCCTTAGCTGTTATATCCCTTCGTATCAACCATGTGCTTGAACTCAATTTCCAAAGGCATATAAATAGCTCAAGACAACATTGTATAGTTTTAAGTCTTTGAGCATGCAAATGCCCAATTCTGGCTGAAACAAGCAACATTAGCCATGGAACTACTTAAAAGCATACATTTGTAAAAGCACATGCCTATCAGCATATTTGACAATACATATTTGAGTATATATTTAAAGGTCTTACAACCTTCATTTTTTAAAATATATATTCTCCCTCCTCTGTTTTATATTTGACTGTAAAAATAATTTGCTTTTCAATTACCAGAGATCTTGGACTTCCACAACGTCTTCATTCAACATGAAGGCAACGTATCCCCTGCCAACAAACTACACAGGAGAAAACACAGGAAAAGATGGATGCTGACATTGAAATATGTAAACATTATTTTGTAGTGCAAAGACTAAACCGAGCACTTCGGTGTTTCAGATGGATTGAGTAATTTTTAGGTCATGCCCCCTTTTACTTGATGGTTTTGATTAAAAAGTGGGAATTATATGCTGCATAGTAATTAGGCTCAGGTCTTGACAAACTCTTAACTTTAAACATTCTGAGAAGCAAGCATGCTTAAACACAAGTCATCAATTTCCATCTTGTTAATATGGCACTACATGTTGTAACTGCGCTCACAGGACAACTGTGGTGTTAGACAACTGAAGTATGCAAGTGTTCCAGGTCACTACTTAAAGAATGGTGGATGTTTTTTAGAAAATATGGAGTAATTTAAAGCATTTGAACAGCAATTTGTCAGTCTTTCAAACACCGACATACTTATATTCTAACCAGAACATATACTTCAGTTTATGCCTTAATTTATACAGAAAAATCGGTATAACTGATTATTTCTCATCTTCCACACTCAAGACCGCATAAGTGATTCTGTTCATTCTCAACCATCTCAAGAGCAGACTGCTTTAAAACGTCAGGATCCAACCTACTTCAAATAACTGGGTATGCAAATATTTCAGCTGGCATTGGGTACGGAGTACCGAGCACAGTCTGTATGGTCAACTTCACAGAACATGACAAAAACATTTCTGCATGTGCCTGGGAAACACTAGAACCCAACACTTGGACATTAATAAATGAGACAGACAACAATTCTTGGTCACAAGCAAAAGTGAACTTATGATTACAATTTAAATCAGATGTTTAACCATTTGTTAATTTTAAAGAATCAGAACAAGGACACAAAGTCATACATAACGAGAAGTTCATTTTATTTCTGCGCCTTCGGTGCCTTCTGCACCTTCTCTGACTTCTGCGCCTTCTCTGACTTCTCTGGCTTCTCTGACTTCTCTGGCTTCTTGCCTTTTTTAGAAGACATCTTCTGGAGCTTCTTCATTTCATGCTTGATGATCCTGTTTCTCTGTAAAAAAGGAAAATGTTTACTATTCATCAGAATGAAAATAGCAACGGCTCCAATATTATGCCTTAATTTAAATTCTAAGCTTTCAGATTCTGCCCTTTTGGTAATTACCCTTTGCTAACCAATTATATTCCTATTATATAGTCAAAAGATTTACCATGTATTACATTTAAAATGTCAAATTCCACCTAAAGCTGTTCTGATCTACCAAGTGGACATCATTCTGGCTGGTAACTTGGGCACCCCAATATTTCACGTGTAATGACTTTCATTATAGACTGAAATACTAACAGTAACCCACCAAGAATATCCGATTTCATCAGCAGGTAATTCCTTTCTCAGCTATAACTTGGAGGACTGACACACAGATCACGTGGGTTCAAGTCTGATCAACTACTGAAGTGGTAGCCAAAGCAGCATGAAAAATTCAAGGCATTCGCATACTTTGTGTCACTCCGTAACCCAAGCCAGCTATAAAAGTAAGGCTACTAACATCTGTATGTGACTCTGAAGTGAAAGCTACAAGCATTAACCCCATAAAGAAGCGACACTCAAACACTCACCATTTTCTTTGCTTTCATAACCTTGTAGCGATCAAAGTCAGTCATTTTGGCTTTCTGTTTGAAAAGAATGAGTCATGAAGCTCTGATATATACATACACAAGTATAGTAAAACTCAGTCTTTCAAAACATTCCACAGGTAACTCTGATCATCTGCAAATTAGGTTTAGTTGCACATCTGGAACTAGTTCACTACTTAAGGACTTTGCTGGGAAGTGATGGTGCAAGAAAAAAGGTGGTTATAGAAATGACTGAACAAAACCACATTTACTGTTAAAATACAAGAAGGTGAAGCTGATAGGTAGCAACTTTTAAAAATCTATGCCTTGTCTAACTTTAATCTTAGCCTGCAATTGAAAACACAGTTTATTACATTGTGCCTACGTTTAATAAGCAGAAGCAGTACAACATGTATTACTCATTCAGTGAAAATCTGTACCTTTTCTCGGGCTTCAATCTTCTTTGCCCATCTTGTCGCTGCCCATTTTTCATTTATATTTTCCTTCTCCCAGGCAAGTCGCACGCACTTCTGACGAGCACTGCATTACAACAGTCACAAAATTATATTCAGTGTCTTTATAAAAAAAGGTTCTCTCTGATGCTGGCCCATCAAGTTTCATACAAGGGAAGACCACCCTTCTACATTACTTCAGACACTTACTTTAAGTCAATGCCACATACATCTCCGTGGCCTAATTAACATTTCGATGTGTAAATGCTTTGCTAGGACTGACAGATGAGCAACTCCAAGAGGCATACTCACACACTATTCCTAGCACTGCTTTAGAATCAGAAAGGCAGTAATTTTTGTTTCTAAATTACAGAAACTCATATAGTAACTAAGCTAAAGAGAACAGAATGAGTTCAGCCTCCTGCAATTCCAGTGTAGTTCTGTAGGCAGGGAACGTATTTAATGTCTGACGGTGACCTAAGCAGTAGCAAAAGCAAAGCTGCACAGTATTTACTGCAACTGCTTCCCCCCACACCATCCACCCCACAACTATCTGCAAGTTGCCTATGCCAGTGTGCCATTTCCTTTGCTCCTGAACAGCGGTTATCAGCCAATATTGGTAATGAAAACTTAACTACCTATTAACTATGTATTCAACTATGATAACACGGTCTGCCAAATTTTTACTGTGCAGACGTGTTAATCCATTTACTTGTATGAACTTTCTGTATTTAGCAAGCATCAGATCACAGAATTCAGTCATCAAGTGACAGCATGTTTTTTTTTTTTACACAGGTCAAAAAAATGCCAACAACTCACCTGTGTGGGAACTTGAGAACAAAGTCAGTCAGCTGCATGCACTTGAAGGGCATAGCCTGCCTTCTGACACCACTGCAGGGGCCATCAACTAGTGCCTGAAAAAGGAAAACAAACATGGGGGTTTTGTAGCAGCTTTCCCATCATACTTGATTTAGACAGCAGCTTCCTAATAATGTATGAACAGTATCTCGACAACAATGGTCCAAAATTGAAATAAATGTTACGCAGACAAAACCCAAGATTGTTAAGTCTTGCATATACAACCCAAGCTTTACAAAAAGAATTTTAAAGGCCCATCTTTGTCTTTGGAAAAAAAACAAACTGAGCTTTAAAAGAAGCACACAGAACTAAGATGACATACTTCATCTTTCTTTTTTTTTTTCCCCAGCTTTTTCAGGAACATTAAGCGAAAAGAGTCCCCTAGCCCAAACTTTTGCTTTGAACATACATTAATGCCATTTCATTCCTAAGTTTTAGACTCCAACTGATTATCACTTGTCCACTTCTACTCCTAGGAGACATAACAGAGAGGGGAATCTATCACTTGCCAGTGAAAAAAGCTTGCTACTGAAAGTTTCAAACACAACAACAGCTGTTACATCCCATCTTTTTGTCAATTGCTTATTTCTTTGAAAAATCTATTCACAGAAAATTTCCTTTAAAATCGACACATTCTGTCTTAGTGTACAAACTTCTGTTAAGGCAGAAAGGAAAAAATAAAGGTACAGCACTCATAGCTTACCCTGTTTTGGTCAATAACATCCACAATGGCCACCAGCTTGCCAGCATGCGGCCCAAAGGAAATGAAGGCAACTCTGCCAATCTCGACGAAGCGTTTGAACACCTGGGAGCAGTAAGAATTGACAGGAGTTAGGCGAGAATAAACCTAAGGCCACTGCTCGATCCAAGGCTCTCACGGCCTTCAAAACAGCTTCCCAAGCTTTCGAACTGCACAAAACCCCTTCGCTTGATCCAAGGGCCCACGGTAACGCCCTCAACTACTTTTTGCCGGCCCTGGCCCCGCGTGGAGGCCGCAGGCAGGCGGAGGAAGAGGCGCCGGGGAGCAGCAGTGAGCCCCGCGGGCCGCGAAGAGCCAGGGGCGGACACGCCGGCTCCGACCGCG